TTCCCCACCTTTATTTTTTGTTTTAAAAAGTTACTTGGCGATTTTTTTGTGCCAATCGATAGAAAAGAAGTAAAACTAGTGAAATAGCTAAGAATTTGGTTTACAGGGAATAATGTTATTGGCCCCAAAAGGGAGCAAAATCGGCAAAATCCCCCATTGTAAATATTTTCTGACACATCAAAATTCAAAAGAGCATAATTTCGTCAATTTTCCCTCAAATTTGACTTTTTGTTTTTTTACCTTACAAAAAAGTTTCTACCCTTTCATAAGAAAAAAATTTTTTTTTTTAACCCCTTTGACTGCGAAAGGCCCCAAACGAAGTGTCCCTGGTGCGAAAAAAATTCGAAAAAAAAAAAAAATTATTTTTTTTAGAAAATGTTTAAAATTATTTTTCTGATTGTTTAAGTCGAAAATTTTTTTTTTTTTCCCATCATACACCCAGATATAAGGATGAATTTGCAGAAAATGAGCCGCATATGGCAACAGCGGCGATGCGGCTCCCAGGTAAAATTTTAGTTTACTTTTATTTAAGGTTTGTTTTTTTTCACTTTTTATTTTTTTTACATAATTATGTGGCCTATAGACCAAGTAAGGGGGCAATGTACATTATACACTCGTTGTTCAACACAATAAAACACAAAAAAACAAATTTCAATATTTGTTTACAAAAAATTGTTTACAAAAACAAACAATACAAAAAAAAATTTTTTTACTATTGTTCTATAATTATATACCCAAAATCAGTCATGAACATCTTAGAAGTTTGCAGTTGTGGAACCTTTTGAAACATGGTGTATACCGTGGGGTTTTTTTCACTCCTCAACTAAAACTGGTGTCTCACAGTGGGGTTTTTTCCCCTCACACATAAAACATGTGTATACACAGTGGGGGTTTTTACACTCTCACACATAAAACATGGGGGCACAACAGGGTGTTTTTCACTCCCACACATAAAACATGGTGTCATAAAGTGGTGTTTTTCACTTACATAAAAAATGGTGTCATCCAGGGTGTTTTTACATCCTCCCTAAAAAATGGTGTCAACAAAGTTTGGGGTTTTCACTCTCACACATAAAACTGGTGTTTAACAGGGTGTTTTACATACTCACACATAAAACTGGTGTCAACACAGGGTGTTTTTTACCTTTCCACATAAAACATGGGGCTAACAGTGGTGTTTTAAACTCTAACATAAAAAATGGTGTATCCGTGGTTTTTACACTCCCACACATAAAACTGGTTCATACACGTGGGTTTTCCCTCAACATGAAAATGGTGTCATACACAATGGGTTTTCCACTCCCCAAACTAAAACCAAATGTGTGTGCATTTTGTGGAATTTTTTTTTTAGTACAAAGACAAAACCTCCCTTGAGCAGTTGTCTTTAAAGTTCAGCAGGATTGTGTTATGTAGTTTTCCCAGGTAAGGTCGGTGTATCATTTCCTTCCCTAATTCCTTTATTCTTTTCCCCCCTGGAGGCTCCTGAAGGGCATTCCACCCCTTTCCACATTCCCTTTTCTGTCCTTTTCCTTTCTTTTTTCCTTCCTTTTATCTATCCTCCTTCATTCCTCCTTCCCTTCTTGTTAGGTTTCCTTAATATATATCCCAAAAATTAGTCTTAGATATTTTATAAAACGCATTTTCCCTTCGCAAGTTTTCTTGGATGCAGTGTGTGGCTTATAATTTTTTTTGGTCAGGAGTCGGCAGCTATCAAAATGGGAAATTTTCCATTATCCTCCTCCTCCCGCCCGAAACAATGGGGGCGGTGCTCTTCCCCCCTTTTTTCTAATTATCTTCTCCCCCATTTTCTCTTTTAAAATGTCTCCCTTTTTCTCTCTTGTCTCACAGGTAAACCCTAAAAAAAGAACAAGTGTAAATTACCCAGGTAACCCAAAAAAACCAGACAAAGGCTATCTTGTTTAAGAGTGAGTAAAACGTATGATGACACAGTCTTGTGGGCCCCTCTGAGACAGGCGAGGGGTGACAGGAGCTTGGCGACAGAAAAAGTTTGTTTGTCGTCGTTTTCATTTCCTCCTCCCCCCCTCCTTCCCTTTTCTCCTCCCCCTTCTCCCTTTTCCCCCTCCCCCCCCTTACCTTTTCCTTTCCCCTCCCCCTTTCCCCTTTTTTTTTTCTCCTTTCCCTTCCTTCTTTTTCCTTCTCCCTTCCCTTTTTCTCCCCTTTTCCTCTTCCTTTTCTCTTTCCTCCCCCTTCTTCTCCCTTTTCCTCCTCCTTTCCTCCCCTTTCTCCTTCTCCTTCTCCTCCTCCCTTTCTCCTTCCCTCTTTCCTTTTTCTCCCCTCCTTTTACCCCTTCTCCTCCCCCTTCTCCTCCTTTTTTCTCCTCCTCCCCTGGGTCTTGACAATGGAAAGCTGCCCCCCCCCCCCACCCCGTTTTTCGTCTCAAAAGGTCAGTCTTAAAGATGTTTCTCCCCTTATCTTGTCACGTCATGGGGTGAACGTTTTCATGCCTAAAGGGGAACAATTTTAATTGGTATTTTCTTTCTTCTTTTCCCCTTTTCTTTCGATTCTTCCCCCCTTTTTTCTTCTTCTTCTTCTTCCTCTTCCCCCTCCCCCCTCCTTCCTCCCCCCTTTCCCCCCCTCCCCCCTCCTTCCCTTCTCCCCCCCTCCTTCCCCTCCCCCTCCCCTCTCCCCCCTTCCTCCACCTCCCTCCTTCCCCCACCCCCCTCCTTCCTCCCCTCCCTCCCTCCCCCTACTCCCTCCTTCCCCCTACTCCCTCCTTCCTCCTACTCCCTCCTTCCTCCCCCTCCTCTTCCACCCCCCCCTCTTCCACACCTCCCACCTTCCCCTCCCCCTCCCCCTCCTTCCCCCTTTTCCCTCCTTCCTTCCTTTCCCTCCTTCCTTCCTTTTCCCTTTCCCCTTTCCCCCCTTTTTTCCCTCCTTTCTTCCTCCTCCCCCTCTTTTCCTCCTCCTCTTCTTCCTCCCCTTTTCTTCCTCCCCTCCTCTTCTTCCTCCCCCCCTCTTCTCCTCCTCCTCCTCTTCTTCCTCCTCCTCCTCCTCTTCTTCCTCCTCCTCCTCTTCTTCCTCCTCTTCCTCTTCCTCCTCCATTGTTTTTGGTCTCAAACTCCTCGAAATCATGAAATTGATCTTCAATGACACTTCCATCTGTGTTAGAGAATCACTTGGGAAGAGAAGAGTCCCAGATTTGCTGGGGAGTCACATATTTCTTACCGCTAGACATGCTGAAAAAGGACGACTGTAATGGTATTCCCACAATGCACCACTGGCTCCCCGATTTTTTTTATATGGTGCACACTGACCATGGAGACCCATTCTCTCACATGTGGGCCTACCAGCTTTCTCCTCTTTGATTTGAAGCCGCTAGAATTTATGCGTATAGATACGTCAAACACGGTATCTCCTATGATGTATATATACGACCACGACAGTCAAAGGGTTAAATTCTTGGACACTGGGGCACCACTTCAGATTTGGGCCTTGGACCCTGAAGGGGTTAAACTTCGTATCACTCATAAAATTGCTTAACGTATGTAATGATTTTTTGGAATTATTATAAATCTTACAAAAAATTCATATAACGTAAATAAATATCTATAGATGGCCATGTCACAGATCCATAGCTTCAATATTTTTTGAGTAAATACCTTAAATTTTAAGATGCAAAAACACTAATGAAATTTTGATATTACAGTGGAACCTCAAATTACGAACTTAATCCTTTCCAGGAGCTAGTTCTAAATTCGAAAAGTCTGAAATTCGAAGCAATATTTCCCATAAGAAATAATGGAAATACACTTAATCCGTTCCAGATACCCAAAAATATTCACAAAACAAAATAGATTTTATAGAGATTAATTACAGTTTTACATACACACAACAAATGCTATAGTCTTTAATTATGTATAGTAATAGATAATAACATTTTTACTTACCTTTATTGAAGATTGGTGATGGCATCTGGAAGATAGGGAGGAGGAGAGAGGGAGTTGGGGTTGTTGTTTGGAAGGAGAATCCCCCTCCATGAGGACTTCCGGTATCAAAGCCCTCTCTGGGGTTGCTTCCCTTCTCTGTATTTTAATGCCACTAGGAGTATTTACAAAGTACTTCAAAAAATCTCATAATTTTGCTTTCTTTTAGCATAAAATTCAATTGCAGCAGTAATTGTAATTAAAAAATGCATAAAGCTTTCAATTTTAGCTAAAAAATATGGTTCGTCAAAAAGGCTTTCAAAACACTCGAGTCATTGTACCCCAGTCTCACAAAATAACTGTCTACAGTCCTCTGTTTCTGCCTCACAAAATAACTATCCACAGTCGTCTGTTTCTGTCTCACAAAATAACTGTCCACAATCGTCTGTCTCACAAAATAACTCCACAGTCGTCTATTTCTGTCTCACAAAATAACTGTCCACAATCGTCTGTTTGTCTCACAAAATAACTGTCCACAGTCGTCTGTTTCTGTCTCACAAAATAACTCCACAATCGTCTGTTTCTGTCTCACAAAATAACTGTCCACAGTCGTCTGTTTCTGTCTCACAAAATAACTGTCCACAGTCCTCTGTACATCCTGGCAAGCTCAACAAGTCTCACTCCAATCTCATACTTCTGTATTATTTCCTTCTTCACATCTATGGTGTTTCTCACTTTCTTTTCCACAGGGGTACTGCTAGCACGTTTCTTTGGGCCCATGGCAGCTTATTTCACAGCCCCACAAGCACTAAACACAATTAAATAATTGTAAAATGTGTGAATGAGATTGCAGGTTAGTGTTCACTCAAGCACAAACAAAGCTAGACTGCTCACGGCGCCTGCGCGGGGGCGCGGACAGAGTGGGCCAGCGGACAGGTCCCGTACCCGGCGGTCCGAAAATAGGAGCACGTTTGATAATAGGGACACAGTTTCTCCGAAAAAATGGTCTTATTTTCAAAACGTTCGATATGTGATACGTTCAATTTTTGAGGTTCCACTGTACTTTATGTCAGCTATAAAATTAGATGAGAGAGAATAAAAGTATACAACATTTACCTTGTTTTTTCAGTAAGAGAGTCCATACTGTAAGGTGCAATACTATTGGCAAGTACAATCCCCAGGAGTTGTAAACCGGCCTCCACCTCACGCTTGCCTCCATCCTTCACTTCCAGTAGTGAATATATCTCTGTGTAAGGAACTGTTAACACACTCTTCCAACCTTCCACGACTGACCTGTTAATTAAACACAAAGATTACAAGAGTGTTAAAACTGTTTGGATAATCTGGCAAAGATAAAAACTTCAGAAGTTTTCTTTTAAGCATTTACCTTGCTATTCTGACATAGCAGATAAAACAGGACAATGAAGGCATTATTTTAATCATATTATGAGTTTACATAAAATATTATCTGAGCAATGTAACACAGCGGACCCTCGGTTATCAGCCGTAATCCGTTCCAGAAAGTCGGCCGATAACCGAAATGGCCGAAAACTGAATTAATATTTCCCATAAGAATTAATGGAAATACAATTAATCCGTTCCAGACAAAAATACAGTGGACCCCCGGTTAACGATATTTTTTCATTCCAGAAGTATGTTCAGGTGCCAGTACTGACCGAATTTGTTCCCATAAGGAATATTGTGAAGTAGATTAGTCTATTTCAGACCCCCAAACATACACGTACAAACGCACTTACATAAATACACTTACAAAATTGGTTGCATTGGGAGGTGATCGTTAAGCGGGGGTCCACTGTATTCACGATTTTTTTTTTTAACAGTTATGTAGGTATTACATACCTTTATTGAAGGCTAATGCTGGCTTCTGGGAGATAGGGAAGAGGAAAGAGAGAGGAGTTAGTGTTTTGGAAGGGGAATCCCCCTCTATAAACACTTTAGGTAGCAAAGCCTTCTCTGGGGTTACTTCCCTTCTTTGTCTCTTAATGGAACTAGGACCAGCTTGAGAGTCACTGGACCCCTGTCTCTCAACAAATCTGTCCATAGAGGTCTGTTTCTGGCATCTCTTTAAGATTTCCCCTGAAGTGGGACAGGGTTTTGTAACTGAACATGTTGCAGATATGGCTTGTTTCAGCTTGTTCAGGGTGGTGTTTCTCTACAAAAGCTTGCATCATAGTCCACATTGCACACACCTCTTTAATCTCTGTCATTTACTGCTACAGTATATTCATTACTTACCTTAAAATATTTGTAGTTTTAATGAAGGGCAAGAGATGAGTAGTACAGTGGACCCCCGCATAACGACCACCTCCGAATGCGACCAATTATGTAAGTGTATTTATGTAAGTGCGTTTGTACGTGTATGTTTGGGGGTCTGAAATGGACTAATCTACTTCACAGTATTCCTTATGGGAACAAATTCGGTCAGTACTGGCACCTGAACATACTTCTGGAGTGAAAAAATATCGTTAACCGGGGGTCCACTGTATTTATTTGTAGGAAAACAGAGTAGGTAGCAGTAGATGTAGGTACAGTACACGTATGTAGGCTCCCCTTCCCTCCCCTCCCCATATTATTACACTACACAGCCATATTATTACCACGTTCACTGAGTTTAATCATTTCTAACAACTACCTTTAGATGCCATCTTAAACAAAGGGAGAAGTAATGAATAATTCATGCTGAGAATTGTAAACAAATGCATATGAAGGGTGGTTACTGCACCAGCTGCCAGATTCGAAGTTTTCTCTAACGCTGCATCAGAGAAAACGCAATGTTTACTCTCCATCCAACTCTCCACTCGAAAACATATAAACACTGCATGCTTATATGCTACATGATATGTAATGTGTTTCTTATATAATTTTGAAGAAAATATCAGATGGATTAATGAAAATGTCTATATTAATGTAAAATAAGACATTTAATGTGCCAAAGAGTGATTATTAACCCCTTGACTGTCGCAACCCCCAATCCTGAGGTGTCTCCTGGTGTCGCAAAATTTAAAAAAAAAAAATTATTTTTTCTTATGAAATGATAGAGAATCTTTTCCCGATTGTAATGACACCAAAAAAACGAAATTTGATGGAAAACGGATGGAATTACGCTCTTGTGAAGTTAGCAACCTCAGTGATATTTACAAATTGGCGATTTCGCTCACTTTGAGCCCTATTTTCGGCTAATTCCATTGTTCCAGTCGACCAAACTCATAGCTATTTCTTTAGAACATCATTTTTCCTATCGATTGAGTACAAGAAACTGCCCATTTACCAATATCAACTACCCAATAACATGGTCAGAAATTTGCAATTTGGCAAATTTAACGAAAATTAAAAAAATATGACAATTTCAAAAAAAGGTCCAGAATGAACAATGCAGACATTCCTGGCTCTAAAATAACATTTTCTTTGTTCATCAGTCATGTCTCCAGGCCCCTCTGATATTACTCTTGCTTTCTATTTTGAATTTTTATTCAAACAAAAAATAGAAGATTTACTATTATGCAGACTACTGCATAAACACGCTAGATAACAGGGATACCTTGCTACTCCTACTTACACTTTGGTCACACTTCACAGACACGCACATGCATATATATATATACATACATCTAGGTTTTTCTCCTTTTTCTAAATAGCTCTTGTTCTTTTTTATTTCTTCTATTGTCCATGGGGAAGTGGAAAAGAATCTTTCCTCCGTAAGCCATGCGTGTCGTATGAGGCGACTAAAATGCCGGGAGCAATGGGCTAGTAACCCCTTCTCCTGTATACATTTACTAAAAAAGAGAAGAAGAAAAACTTTATAAAACTGGGATGCTTAAATGTGCGTGGATGTAGTGCGGATGACAAGAAACAGATGATTGCTGATGTTATGAATGAAAAGAAGTTGGATGTCCTGGCTCTAAGCGAAACAAAGCTGAAGGGGTAGGAGAGTTTCAGTGGGGGGAAATAAATGGGATTAAATCTGGAGTATCTGAGAGAGTTAGAGCAAAGGAAGGGGTAGCAGTAATGTTAAATGATCAGTTATGGAAGGAGAAAAGAGAATATGAATATGTAATTCAAGAATTATGTGGATTAAAGTAAAGGTTGGATGCGAGGAAGTGGGTCATAATAAGCGTGTATGCACCTGGAGAAGAGAGGAATGAAAGAGGAGAGAGAAAGATTTTGGGAGAGATGTTAAGTGAATGTATAGGAGCCTTTGAACCAAGTGAGAAAAGTAATTGTGGTAGGGGACCTGAATGCTAAAGTAGGAGAAACTTTTAGAGAGGGTGTGGAAGGTAAGTTTGGGGTGCCAGGTGTAAATGATAATGGGAGCCCTTTGATTGAACTTTGTATAGAAAGGGGTTTAGTTATAGGTAATACATATTTTAAGAAAAAGAGGATAAATAAGTATACACGATATGATGTAGGGCGAAATGACAGTAGTTTGTTGGATTATGTATTGGTAGATAAAAGACTGTTGAGTAGACTTCAGGATGTACATGTTTATAGAGGGGCCACAGATATATCAGATCACTTTCTAGTTGTAGCTACACTGAGAGTAAAAGGTAGATGGGATACAAGGAGAATAGAAGCATCAGGGAAGAGAGAGGTGAAGGTTTATAAACTAAAAGAGGAGGCAGTTGGGTAAGATATAAACAGCTATTGGAGGATAGATGGGCTAATGAGAGCATAGGCAATGGGGTCGAAGAGGTATGGGTAGGTTTAAAAATGTAAGTGTTAGAGTGTTCAGCAGAAGTTTGTGGTTACAGGAAAGTGGGTGCAGGAGGGAAGAGGAGCGATTTGGTGGAATGATGATGTAAAGAGAGTATGTAAGGGAAAAAAGTTAGCATATGAGAAGTTTTTACAAAGTAGAAGTGATGCAAGGAGGGAAGAGTATATGGAGGAAAAAGGAGAGGTTAAGAGAGTGGTGAAGCAATGTAAAAAGAAAAGCAATGAGAGAGTGGGTTGAGATGTTATCAACAAATTTTGTTGAAAATAAGAAAAAGTTTTGGAGTGAGATTAACAAGTTAAAAGCCTAGAGAACAAAAAGGATTTGTCAGTTAAAAATAGGAGAGGAGAGTTATTAAATGGAGAGTTAGACGTATTGGGAAGATGGAGGGAATATTTTGAGGAATTGTTAAATGTTGATGAAGATAGGGAAGCTGTGATTTCGTGTATAGGGCAAGGAGGAATAACATCTTGTAGGAGTGAGGAAGAGCCAGTTGTGAGTGTGGGGGGAAGTTCGTGAGGCAGTAGGTAAAATGAAAGGGGGTAAGGCAGCCGGGATTGATGGGATAAAGATAGAAATGTTAAAAGCAGGTGGGGATATAGTTTTGGAGTGGTTGGTGCAATTATTTAATAAATGTATGGAAGAGGGTAAGGTACCTAGGGATTGGCAGAGAGCATGCATAGTTCCTTTGTATAAAGGCAAAGGGGATAAAAGAGAGTGCAAAAATTATAGGGGGATGTCTGTTGAGTGTACCTGGTAAAGTGTATGGTAGAGTTATAATTGAAAGAATTAAGAGTAAGACGGAGAATAGGATAGCAGATGAACAAGGAGGCTTTAGGAAAGGTAGGGGGAGTGTGGACCAGGTGTTTACAGTGAAACATATAAGTGAACAGTATTTAGATAAGGCTAAAGAGGTCTTTCTGGCATTTATGGATTTGGAAAAGGCGTATGACAGGGTGGATAGGGGGGCAATGTGGCAGATGTTGCAAGTGTATGGTGTAGGAGGTAGGTTACTGAAAGCAGTGAAGAGTTTTTACGAGGATAGTGAGGCTCAAGTTAGAGTATGTAGGAAAGAGGGAAATTTTTTCCCAGTAAAAGTAGGCCTTAGACAAGGATGTGTGATGTCACCGTGGTTGTTTAATATATTTATAGATGGGGTTGTAAGAGAAGTAAATGCGAGGGTCTTGGCAAGGGGCGTGGAGTTAAAAGATAAAGAATCACCCAAAAAGTGGGGTTGTCACAGCTCTCTTTGCTGTGACACTGTCTCTTGGAGATTCTGAAGAGAAGCTGCAAGTTGGTGGTAAATTTGGTAGGGTGTGCAAAAAAAGAAAATTAAAGGTAATCGGGAAAGAGAAAGGTTATAGGATAACAAAAATTGGTGATGAAAGATTGATATCAGTTGGAGGGGGAGAGTTTTGGAGGAGGGAACGTATTCAAAATTTTTGGGGAGTGGACGTGTCAGGGATGGGTCAGAAAGATGGGGAATCAAAAACTGATGGGGAAAAAAAGATGGTGGTGATTTAGGATCTGTGGGAAAAAGAACTTTGTCCTTGGGGGGCAAAGA